CCTCAGATATATGCTCTAGGCAGAGCTTCTAAGCTTCTCGCTCTGAGTTTTTCTATAAATTTCGTGTTTATCCAGTTGTTGTTGCGTATTTTTATCTGACTTTCACTTATGTATTTAGTTTTTGAAGTTGTTATCTCTGTTAATTCACTAAATGTTCTTACTTCTTGAGTTTGTGGTTTAATTTTTAAAGTTTCTTTCAGTTTGTTTATCGTTTTTTTATTATGTATTCTTTAGTGCTTTTTATGACATTTTTATTTAGTTCAGTGCTCATGATTTTGTGATGAGATGGACGGTATAAACACCGTCTCGGATGACTGATTCCCAAATTGGTGACAGGTAGAGACCTGTTTATAGATTTCTATAGACTCTCGGATTTTTCATTGGTAGAAAAACGGATTACTTGCAAAAATTTTAGTTTTATCAAATAAAATTTTATGCGCGGTTTCATGAGAGCCCCCCACCCCCCCTCCCACCACAAACAATATATAAGCAGGTACAGAGTAAAATACGACCCAGTTTCAGTCAAGCTCTGAAGAGGCAATTTCGACGAAGCAAAAACCGACGCAGGAGGAATCCAGAAGTTTTGTAAAAAGCAATCAACTACTCTTTTTTAAATTATTTTATTTATTTAGGTTTACGTACTTCGTATTTGTGCAATTAATTAAGAAAGACATAATGATGTTTATATGTGTACATTAGAAATTCTAAAGCGTATCTCGAAAGACTTGTAACAGGAACAATTCGAACAAGGTATATGCTTACTATCCTAGCATCATTTCTTTAACAAATAGACTCTTTTCGCTATTCCGGATGATTTTAGGGCTTCTCTAATCGTTATTCGGGTCGATCGAGCCAGAGATCGCGTCCCGAGTGATCTTCCGGAATGCGAAAGGGTGTTTACGAGATAAATGGCCCGGCAATGGGCGGATTAAAGAGAGGCGCGAGATAAGGTGCCGGACGCCGTACATGAATATGTGGCATTCTTCAGCAAATGGGAAAAAGACGGAGCGTATGCGCGCGTCAGCACTCCCAAACGCGCATTTACGAGCCCGAGATAAAATTTGTAAAAACCAACTGCTTAACCTTAAGGTCGCGCGTAGGAAAATGCCTGAAATTTGCGGGGATATAGGGGCGGCTGACGCGCCCATTCGTCTTGCCGCTTTGATGGATACGGCCGTAGACCGAGAAAAGAAGGACGAATTTACCCGGTGTTGACGTAAAATTCGTTTTTTCGTTTGGGCGAGCAACCATTTCAATTTATTTATTTGTTGCTATGAACTTTTATATTTATATATTTCTATAAACTCTCGGATTTTCCGTTGCTAGAAAAATCGGTTACATGGAAGAATTTAAGTTTTATCGAATAAGATTTTATGTCCGGTTTCGCGATTGTGTTCCGCAACTGCTGAGGAGTTAATTTGTCCTAGTTTAACGGCTCTTTCATTTCATTGAGCCCAGTTGATATTTTTCGTTCGGTCTCCCCGTATATGCATGGAATGCTGTAAACTCCTGGCATCTCAAATGGAAGGACGACAGTGGAAAATGGTGGGATTGCTTTCGGCCTCATTGCTATTGCTATTGTGATGGAAAGCTTAATATCATTGATGTGCAAAATTATTAGAGAGAAGAGCAGAGGTAAGGCGTTTAAATTCTGGGTTCAGTTGCTCGGCCTGGGATAGTTTTTCGACTCTGTAAGTAAGAGAGTTGATATCTGATGATTTTTGGACCGGATAGGGACGTGACAATGCGTTAAGGTATCGGTCTGTGTGTGTGGGTTTTCTGTAGACACAATGACCCAAAGTTTGGTCTGATTTTCTATTGATAAAAATCAAAAGAAATAAGAAATAAAAGTTCAGATTTTCACGAAATTATATATTTTGACATGACAATTGTTTCTACAGCACCGTGTCTATATTAAATTTTGATAAACATTTGATAAAGACACGGTGTTGATCGAAACAATTGTCATGTCAAAATATATAATTTCGTGAAAATCTGAACTTTTATTTCTTATTTATTTTGACAAATGGAATTTTCATCAAGTAAAAGCCACCTCAGTTCAATTATTGATAAAAATATCTAAGAATCGGAGGTTGTTATTAGTTTCTATGTCAATGGTAAAACGTATGTTAGGATGTATAGTGTAAGAAAATCTACTAGGGATTCTTAACCATGAGACCAAATAACAAAAGTATCATCCACGTAGCGATTGTGGTTTTAGTTGAAAAATTTGACCGTTATAAAAAAATATGTTCCAGGTAAGCTTTTTTCAATTGTGGTGTTAAGGTTGGTGTGGAAATGATGGTGAGAGTTTCAGGAATAGGAACTTTGGTAAAGAGAATATCTTGTCTATCTATCTACGATTCTTTTCAATTATTCAATGAAGTGGTAGGAATTGAGTACGAAACTGTCCATTTTTCCTGTAAAGAGTTTCAGAGTTTCAGTCAAGCTCTGCAGAAGCCAACAGGATGATTGGCGAAGCCTTAGCAAGTTCGAGTCAACGAAAATCGACGCAGGAGGAATCTAGAAGTTTTTAAAAAAATATTACGGTAGCCTGTGGAAGTTTATTTGAAGAAAAAGTGATAAAGTAATCAAATTTCCACTTTTCTTTTTTCCGTCACTCTAAAGTCGACACAATAGGGGCACCGGTTTCGTCGTACCGCGAGGACCGTAAATATCGCTAGAGTTCGCGCTAATAAGCGCCTCCCCGCTTTAAAAATGTCCAATTACGTTCGAACCGGCGTGTATAATTTATTCAAACTTAATTAGTTCGTGAGAACCCCTCGCGAACGCACAATAATTACGAAAGCCGGGTAGGCATTCCGCGCCTTTTCATACAATTAAACCTTTTATGATTGATTTTCAGGTTCGCGATCGAATAAGTAATGCGAGCTGACGCACGATGGCTATCAGCCATGGCGGCGGCGGCAGCGGTCACAGGACTTACCGATAAGGCAGCGGTTTCCGGCATACGCAGGCCGCTCTTCCAAATCGGGCCCGCCTGTCCTTAAACACATTTTTGCACGCAGCGCCAGTTGTCTCCTTTCTGTTGATCGCTTAACCCGCCAGATCGAGGCTCTATTCGAAAAGCCCACCCGTTTTCGACAAGACGTTGCAAAAACCGACAACGTAGTCACGAATGACGCCCGGTTGTCGCTTTTGGGGCTGCCCGGAGCGGGTCGGAGGTCTAAGCAATCTGACATGTGATTCTGTATCGTTTAGGCCGACAATATCTCCAGCAAGCGTTTATTTTTCGAAGATCTTACTCCCTCCGGGTCGAAAAACTTCGTCTCGGACCCTCTCACCTCATATCGCGTCCGTTTTGTAATTCGGCTATTTGTCGTTTCCTAGGAAAGCTTTTGAAACGTATAATAAATCTGTACTGGCATCGAACATCAAAGTGGGAGAAATTAATATAAGGCGCCGTTCAGACAAGGCTGTATTCCGTCTCCGACCTTATTTAATCTCTACTCGAAACATATAACTAGAGAAAGTTTACGCCGGAGTGCTGATTAACAGGGCGGGGCTGAACAGTATACGTTACGCGGATGACACTGTCGTGTTCGCTAATTCCCTCGAAAGTATCCAAGAATCGATGAACAGCCAGCATTGAGTATGGCCTATCTCTAAATGTCAAAAACTCAAGTAATTAGCAAGCATAACATACAAACCGGCCAACTGGTAATCAATAATCAACCAATGGAAAAAGTAGCACTACTCCGTAGAAATAAAATGCCCTATAGATAAATGTCCACAAAGAAACTTGAAGCCTTGAGATGTGTTTAAAACCAGACAGTTTTAGACAAGCTTCAGAAAGACACCGAAATGGTGGACATCATTAAGAAACGTAAATTAGAATATCTGGGACATATAATGAGGAACCAAAAGAGATATGGTCTGCTTCATTTGATACCACAAGGAAAGATGTTGGGCAGACGAATCTCTGGGTTGAAAAACCTTAGAACTTGGGTTTCCCCGTCAACACGAGGATGATTCAGAGCAGCAGTCAACAAAGTTCAGATCGCTTTGCTTACCGTCAACATCCGGAACGGATTTGAGCACCTACAAAAATTTCTGCTGAATTAGGAATACTTTTTGGTCCGGGAGTTAAACTAAGCCTTTTTAGAAGGTTCTTTTTTCCGCTGTCTCACTAACAAAAACAAGCAGGGTTACTTCTTATATCCCGATAGCTGAGTCAGTAGAATTTCCACAATTTTTACAAATCTTTTTGTATTTTTTATTATTTTAGTATTTTATTTGTACTTTAAAGTTTCTCTTGGATGAGTCAATAAAAAGCTTACAGTCCTTGGTCCCTGCCTAGTTCCTTTATTAAATTAGGAATATTGGTGCCATAAACAAGTGAAAGATCCTTAGGTTGTTGAAAAACACTACATAAATCACAAACATCCTTAAGGGTATCTTCATCTATTTCATATTTTTTTGCCCAAAATAGATTCGCCATATGCCATTGTCAACATTTCAAGTGTTTCGCAGCACTGTATTCCATTTTTTACGCAAATACCTTGTTCTATTTTTCTTTTGACAGCAGAAAGTGTCAAAAAAATGTTTAATTGTAAGATTCTAATAAATATTTATCTGTATAGCCCTAAAAAACTGTTACAAATCAGAGAACTATGTAGAAGACACAAAAATGCAAGTAGAAGAATATTGTTAATCGACAGGCACACAAGACCAAAATGGTTATTTCAAATAAGATAAATAGAGTACAGGTACTTACCCTTACACTTTGAACTCGAGGATCAGGTACATAAACACGTACTTACTGGAAGGATCAAAGTCAAATACCTCCATAGTATATACGAACATATTGCAATATAGATTAAACTCTTAAGAACGGTCCATCTTAGGCAAGACCTGCTTAACGCAGAATAAACATATGTCGCGAAGGGTTTTACCACGGTTCTGCGTAAGTCTGCGGTTAAGGTGCTGTAAAATAATTGAAAAGTGAAAGCAATAAATACCCTATATTTTTGGTCGTGTTATAACAGGAACTGAAGACTAATTACAATTATCTCCTCTAAAAAACTACCTAACAAGCATACTATACAGTAATGAGTAAGTGTCGAAAAATAAATGTGCATTTCTTGCACTCTGGCGCACACAGAAAACGTAAAATTAAAAAATCTGTCAGGATGTCTTTTCAGTTCTTTGAAATTAAAATTAGTAAATAAATAATAAAAAATATCACGAAATGAACCTACAATTTCTCCCCATTTTTTTTGCAACTGCAAAGTGTGTTAGGTCGGTTAAAAGAACAAAACTCTTGAAGCAAGCTAGAATAAAATAATTGTTTATTTAACAATTTAAAGAGGAAACTTCTGCTGGGTTGTTGATAACTCGATCCTGCTGACGTTTCGCCGATCATCTTATTAGCTGTTTCAGGGCTTATACAGGACATCCAAATAACGTTTACATGCGTGTCAAAGTAATAAATGTTATTATATTTTTTAATGTATATTATGGCATTAATACTTATACTTACTTGTGATAGTCTACACCGAGTGTTTTCGAATTTATGGCCATTTTTTCGTCCAAAATGCTTTGTGTTTAATACTGAAATTCAATAATAATTTGGGCTTCAGAACGTCTAAATTAATGGAAAGAAAGCTTGTTTTCTCCGGTTTTATTTTGTCCATTACAGCTTACGTTCGAGTTATTGGAACACTTTACCTACCGAGCATAGTTGCTAGCGTTTATGTGCGGAACTTTATCGTTTTATATCGAAACCCGTGCATTTGATGGCGTAGAAAAACGAAAGGGAACGTTCAGGGAAGCGTTTCCCGGTCCTCGACGTCGCCGTTGTCGTTGCGACGTCTGACGTGACTGTACAGTTGATTCGCGGACCTTATTCGCTCCTGAAGGATCTGCCGACAAATGTGGAATAGAATTAGAAATGTTCTCGCGCGCTCTCAAAGTATTTTTCGCTTTTATTTCGCTCATTGACTCGGCGCAAAAGAAAAATGCTTCAAGGATCGCGAAAAATGGCCACGATATGCTGCCTGTAAATTCAAAAATATATTAAATAAAATAAATTCACAAATATATACAAAAAAAGGCGCCAAAGAAATGTGTTTTGAAAAAACATTAAAATGATATCGTAACAAAAGCGACGAAGAAAAATAGCTGGAAATTAAGGTTCCATTTTTTGCTTCGCCTAAAGGCAAACAGACTTCGTACAGGAACAAAGGCGGTACAGTTAAAGTATTTAATTTTGTTTGAAATAATCACCGAAATTACGAGTTTTTGGGTTTCCCCCTCTTTGTAGCAAAAAAAAACAGAATCAGGCCCCATATATCGTAGCTTCTCATCAACATTCGCAAAATAAAAATTTAATTTGGTATTCATTCATTTATTTTTTTTCAATTTATGGCAATCACTCCCCAAAAACATAAATATTAATTTAATAAAATAAAAATAAAATAAAATAAATTATTAATATCATTAAAATTATATTTTTTTATAATAATAAAAAAAAATTATGATCGAGCGAACGCTCTTCTGAGATTGCAGGTAATGATACCATATCGGTCGAGTTCATAAAAAAGTAGACGCGGACTTAATATTTTCAAAGTTTTTTTTTTTTTAAAATAATGACGACGTTTTATTTAGTGGTAGTAAGAAATACTTAAAAAATGGCTACAATTTGTACAATTATAAAATTGATCGGATAAAATAAAAGAAAAATGTTTATATTCAAATATCTCGCGCATCTTGTATGATATACAGGACATCGACACAGTTTGCGATACGGTTTCAACAAATTCACGTCGTTTAGACATGAAATTTTCAGGTATTTCGCCCATTACCGACACACTCGATGCCGCCTATAATACCATTCAAATCAATCAGCCACATTTTTTTCGAATTTTGATATGCGGTTGGTCGAAAGCAGTAATTTTCGGGGTCCTTTAGACGCTTGTCTGTAATCGAAAAATCCTGTATATAATCAAAAAAATGGTTAATTAAAATTATATAAAACGATGTTATTGTACGACCAAAAATATAGTGCATTTATTGCTTTGGCGTTTTAAGTATTTTGCAGTACCTTAACCGGAGACCTTCGCAGGACCGTGTTAAAATCCATCCCAACAGAAGTTTATTCTGCATTAAGTAGGCCTTGCCTGAGATGGACCGTAACGCATATTTGTAGAAACTTTTCAGTTGAAACGTTTTAAATTTGATTAAGCATTCATGCCGCGGGGAATTTTCGAATAAGTCGAAGCGTTTATTTTAACATCAGGTGATATGTATCGTCCTTAAAAGTTTAACATAAATTGCAATATGTTCGTATATATTACGGAGGTATTTGAATGTGATCCTGCGAGGCTGTTTTCGCTGGATAATTCAAAGGGTAAGTGTAAGTGCCTGTACTCTATTTATCTTACGGGTAAGTTTAAAAATAATCATTTTTGTCTTGTGTGCCCGTCGATTAACAACGTTTTTCTTCTTGTATTTTTGTATCTACTACATAGTTCTTCGATTTGTAAACAACAACAGTCACATTAAACTAGGTGACGGCAGTAGCGATGGTGACGACTTTGTATATTAATACTGCAGAAATGTAATGAAATGTAACGAGTTGATCATTGAACGATTTTTTAAGTGACTCATAGTTTAATATTATTATAGTCAATATTTTGTATATTAAAAATGATATTATGCAGAAATGTAGTGAAATAGAAGCTAATCAATTGTTATTTTGTACTAATTTTTTTATGCGCATGTTTCAAGAATTGCTCGGCGAAAAAGATTGAAAACACACTTATATCCCGCTTGTTAGTGTAGGTAGGTAGGGTCTATTGTAAAAGCACTATATTTCTGGTCACGGTATACTACGGTGGCTCGTGACAATCGCCGACACGCACGGGTCCATTTAAAACGGCCAAAGGCGATCGATGAGCGACGACGGACGACGCCAATACCTTTTGGCGTCTCATTTCGGCGCCTTCCAGTTTCTCCCGGAGCTTCTCCAACGTAACCGGACTGCCGGTCGCCTCCTCCCGTCTCAGCAGCCTCCTCGGAGGTCGCCTCGAGCGCTCGCCGACGTCGTCGTCGTCTTCGTCGAAGCTTATATCGTACGCCAATCCGTGGGCTGCAACGCGCCATCACTCGAGAGGATTGAAGCCGCTTAGCGGCGACTTACCGGCCTCGTGGACGTCATGGACGTCGTCTTCGAGGAGCTCCACGTCTCGGGGGACCCGCGCAGCCTCGGAGAGGTCCCTGCGAACGACGCGTCAGCGATCTAAACCGTCCCTTGGATACGCACCTCGTCCCGTTTTGGTAGAGACGCCCGTCGTCGGGTTCGACGACGCCCCGCGTCGCGCTGCACCCCATGACTCGAATGGACGTAAAACTCGACGTAACTGGACGGTTATCGACTCCATCGCGTCGCAAATAGATAACGACGCGACCGCCGATCGATTTTTTTTTCGCCCGTCACTCGCGAGCCCCGCATGTGACCCAGTAATTTCCACGTATGCCCGCTTCCCCTCCCTGTACCCCGAAAACACTGTGTGTGTGGAACGTTGAAGTACGCGGCACAATTAAACGAGGAAGGGGGATTTTTTTTAATCAAAAATATATTTCATAATCGGTGTTGCAAGATAAAATCCACAAGGGCCTCGGAAAGCTCCGCTCAAAAGGAAATCCCCCTAGGTGTTGTCCAATAGTTGTCATAAGAGCATTTTTTTAAATAATTAGTAACAAGCGAAGAATTAAAAAACATATATATAGTAAATATATATATATATATATATATATACAGTGTGTCCAAGATAAGGATGCACAGCATGGGGATCTCGGAAACTATAAGAGATACAGTGTCGGTTAAATTAGACAAAAGTTGCGCATTTTGATACCGAACAAGATCCCGTTTTACAAATTTGAAAATTCCAAGCCGTTATGGAAATATCCGAGAAAAACCGAAATATTGCGATTTCGTTTTTATTATTTTTTAAAGCTATTTGAAAAGATATGAAAAAACGGAAAACACTTTTCCATTGGCACTTTTTAATCTCTCCAAATTGACGTTAACAAATTTTCATTACAGCGTTTCGATTCCATGGAACCACCATCAACTTTGATTTTTCTTATGGGACGGAAAAAAAGTACACACAGTATTAGGTTGTGCTTTTCATTGCGAATTCAACGATGTACGATACAATAAGGTTACTTATGTTTTTATCCAGAAAAATGGATTTTTAATACATTTCAGCATTTAAATGGAGTAGGCCATGACAAAATGACATCCAGTCAATTTCAATGACACATTAATGTTATTTGTCTTTGTTATCAGTCGATCATAAGTTTATTCCTTTAGTTATTGTTTTTGTATTTTTATTGTTGTTGTCTTTTTCTAATTTATTTTGTTCTACAATGGAGGGAGGTAATTTTACAAACGAAGAAAAATGTGATATGCTGTCTTGCTACATCTGATGCCAAAGAAATTGTGTGGAAGCCGAGCGTATGTATTCTAACAAATACCCAGAGCGGAGACAACCTGACAAGAGTATTTTTCGGCGTTTGTTATTTAATCTGAAAGAATATGGATCATTTAAGAAGCCTGCATTATCCCGACAAAAACCTTCCAATGAAGAAAACCAATACAATGTTCTACAATCTGTTATCGAAAATCCACAAACTTCTACCAAAGAAATTGAAGACCAGAATGGGGTAGCTAAATCTACAGCTCAGTTTATTTTAAGGAAAAATGAATTTAAGCCTTACAAATTCAGAATATGTCAAGGATTAAAACCGGGTGACGACGAACGACGTAGACATTTTTGTGAGTGGTATACCAGGATGTGTGATGAGAGTTTTAATTTTCCATATAAAGTGATTTGGTCTGATGAAAGTATGGTGACCAATAACGGTATTTATAACAGGCGCAATACACACTATTGGTCGCAACAAAATCCACGTGTTAATAGACTATCCAGACATCAAGTTCGCTTTGGGTTTAATATTTGGTGTGGGATTTTTGGTAGCAAGATTATAGGCCCTATTTTCTATAATAATTCCTTAACTTCCGAGCGGTACCTTGACATCTTGAGGCACGATTTAGAAGATGCCTTAGATGATTTACCGCTAGGCGCTGTGCAAGGCTGCTGGTTCCAACAAGATGGTGCCCCAGCCCATAACTCCAGAGAAGTTCGCCAATATTTAACTGAACGGTTTGATGGAAAATACATTGGGACTTACAGTGAAACACCTTGGCCTGCAAGGTCCCCGGACTTAACTCCCTTGGACTTTTTCTTATGGGGCTACATAAAAAATGAGGTATTCAAAGAATGTTTTGACAACGAGGAACAATTACGTCAATCAGTACGAGCAGCGTTTAATAAAATTACTCCTGAAATGTTAAGTCGTGTTTTGGAGTCTACCGTGAGACGGGCGTACTTATGCCTAGAAAATGGAGGTCATTTATTCGAACATTTGTTATAGAATTTGTTTTTCATTAACTTGTTGGATTTAGTTGTTATGTTAAATGAACAGTTAGAGTTAGTAAATAAATAAACACATTAACTCGAACTTGTCAACCATTTTCTTTTGCCTTTCATCGTTCGGATCTCATGGCCTACTACAATAAAATACTAGAAATGTATTAAAAAGCCATTTTTCTGGATAAAAACATAAGTAACCGTATTGTATCGTACATCGTTGAATTCGCAATGAAAAGCACAACCTAATACTGTGTGTACTTTTTTTCCGTCCCATAAGAAAAATCAAAGTTGATGGTGGTTCCATGGAATTGAAACGCTGTAATGAAAATTTGTTAACGTCAATTTGGAGAGATTAAAAAGTGCCAATGGAAAAGTGTTTTCCGTTTTTTCATATCTTTTCAAATAGCTTTAAAAAATAATAAAAACGAAATCGCAATATTTCGGTTTTTCTCGGATATTTCCATAACGGCTTGGAATTTTCAAATTTGTAAAACGGGATCTTGTTCGGTATCAAAATGCGCAACTTTTGTCTAATTTAACCGACACTGTATTTCTTATAGTTTCCGAGATCCCCATGCTGTGCATCCTTATCTTGGACACACTGTATATATATATATATATATATATATATATATATATATATATATATATATATATATATATATATATATATATATATATATATATATATATATATATATATATATATATATATATATATATATATATATATATATATATATAAAATTGGAGGGGGTATTTCGGAGAGTCTCGGAAAGCTCTATTTAAACGGCGAGCCCCCTCTCTGCCGTAGAAAAAGTATCATAAACACGTTTTTTTATATTCAATTACAACAGAAGGATTTTTTTTTACCAAAAATATATTTAAAAAATGGCGTTACAAGACAAAATTTAGAAGAGGCATTACAGAAAGCTCGATTGAAAAGGAGAACCATTAGCTGCAGTAGGATTTTTTCTTAATGAAAATGAAATTTCAAAATTGTTGATAGAAAATAAAAATTAGAAGGGCGTTAGAAAGCTCCATTCATACCCCTAGCTGCCGTCCAAAAGATGATACCGCATTTTTTTTCTTATAATTAATAACAATGGGAAATAAAAAAAAATAGGGCCTTAGAAAGCTGTATTTAAAACCCCTAACTGAAGTAGAGAAAGTATCAAAAACGCGATTTTTTTTACTAGTTAATAGATAAAAAAAATATGGTGTTACAAGATCAAATTTAGAGAAGACGTTTTGAAGAGTATTAGGTAGTTGTCTTCAAAACTGGAAATCCCTAACTGCTGCCCAACTCATTTTTATTATTAAGAGCAGTGCAAGAAGACTTTTTAAAAAATCAAAAATAAATGTAACAAGTGGCGTTGCAAGGTCAAATTTGGAGGCGACATTTGAAGGATCTTGGAAAAGGGGAACTTCCTAGTTATGTCATAAACGCGTTTTATTTATTACACAGAAGAATTTTTTTTAATCAAAGTTATATGTTAAATTTCGGGTCCCGAAAAAGACTATTCAAAAGCTTTGGAGCTGACATTTCAAAGTTCCCTTCAAAAGCGGGAGCCACAAACAAACGCAAAGGCTACCGTAAACGCGTTTTTTTTTACAAGAAAATGATTCTAAGAAAATTAAAAATAAATGTAAAAAACGATATTACACGATAAAATTTGGAGGAGACAATTCGAAGGGCATTAAACAACTCCGTTTAAATGGGAACCCATTACTAAACTTGTTTTCCTTATAAATTAATAGTAAAAAAAACGAATTAAAAAAAAATGTATGTTAAAAAACGATATCGCAAGATAAAATTTAGAGAGTACATTTCGAAAAGCCGAACATTTTTCAGGTGAATTGGTTTTAAACAAGCACATGTCGTTATCTCGGGCTGCGTGGCAATTTACTTTTACATTGACTAAGACACTGAAAATACAACTTTCTCGACTATTGAGTTGTTGTCAGGCGAGACAAAAAATATAAATCGCGAAAATCGAGAAAATACTTTTCGAACATACACGTTCATGTTATTTTTTAGGGGGAATCTGCAGCCCAACATTGGTGCACGGTTTTCTATGCTCCGGTAGCGTTGAAACGGATTAACTTATATGTCGTTGAACTATATATCTTCAATTTCAACTTGTATAGTATTGTTGTATTCATTTCAAATCACCTATTTCTTTATTATTCCTACTTTTATATAAGTTTTTATATTCGTGATCTTGGAATAATTACTATATGTAACATTTATGTTATGCACCCTATTCAATGATCCGTATCATTGCAAATTTACATCTCATTACTTTGGCGCGCATTAAGGAACGAAATATAAGAATTAATGCCATATCAATAAATTTAAGTGTAAAAGGACTCATCTCTGTATTGATGATTCCTCACTCAGGCCTTAGATGGCACGGCAACAAAACTAACAAAACTATACCGTATTTCTTGGCTTTTGACGTTTCGGGCGCAATCTGCGGAGCAATCGATTACCGACAACTTTGAGCTATATTTGGAACGTACGCTGTCGTAACGTTGAATGTCTATATTTTCAGGGTGGCGCCATCTAACACGCGCCCGTTGAAACCGCGTCGAATTTTCCTAGTTTCATCGCGCGACGCCCGATGGCGGCGTAAGTTGGTTTCCTCGGCCGTCGCGTGTAGCTAGTTTGGCAAGGAGATGGTGTATTTCGCGCCAGTTTTCATTCAATTCAATTCATTTTACCGAATAAACATAGCGTAATCCGCATTTTTGTCAATGGCTCGGCGCACCGTTCTCTCTGTGCATCACAGGCGATGCAAATTAACCAACGGTTTTAGATTTGAAAAGGTTCGTTTTCCGTATGATTTAACGACGGCTTCACTTTTTCCGAATGGTGTTAGCGCGTAAGAATGTCTTTAGTGCAATTTTTCGGGAATTGTACGTGTTTGCCAGTCCGTGTGTCCGTCGACTAGAATTGCCATGGGGTAAGTCGTACAAGTTGTAGTGGCACGGTTAATTGTTGATCTTGAAGCTTAATAATAACAAAAAGATTATTGTATTTGAAATTTATTCACATTGTTGAGCGACATACGAGGTGCGTGAGTGACGTAAACGCGAGAAACGACAGCGCAAACAAAACGAACGGCTTCAACCTGCAAAAATGCGTTACGTTAATTGTTATACGACAACGAGGGGCGACTTACGTTCGAAACATCTGCGTGGTCGCGACGACGTCCCATATCATAAACGACGTGATGATTAGGCTGTATACGAATATCCTCACGGCCCTGGCGACTTCCCTGAACGCGTCATGAATCGTGGCGGTAACCATCTCGGTCGAAACGCGATTTTCCATATCGCGCAGTTTATAATAATAATACTATTGTTCGGTTTACGCGGTCGGTCGTAAATGTCGAGAGAGAGAGAGAGAGAGAGAAGATTGCCGCGTCACCCGAAGTAAAATGCGAGCAAAAATCGTGTTTTTTTTTTACGTTTATTTCACTGCTTTGTACATCATATCGTTACACATTAAAATTAATACCCGTATGTTTTTAAAAGTGGGAATGTTTAATAAAATCTCTTTATACATCAGCATATAAAACAACAATTTATTCATTATTATCAACATCATTTACAAATCGCGCTGACAAATTTTGCGCTGTCCATTTTTGAGTAAAACCATCGGGTCTGAGTTCACGAGACAATCGTAAGTTTTGCTTGAAAGAAAAAACAATCGGAACTCGAAGCGCGTTGGCAGGGCGAGACGTCTTCAAACTCAACCCGGAAAAACGACATTTTCCACGCGCTTTTATCCGCTTTTCCGTTCTGTTAGTAAAGGAAATGTGAACATTTTTTTAAACTCTCGACATATCTAATGAATACATACACGGATGGATACGGTCTTACTTAATACGCTTCTTGCTCCAGCGTTCAAGTAGGCTTTGAACAACCGACGGGTCCCAAGTTCGATCCCCCGTGGAGACAAAAAAAAACGGTAAAAAAGTACCGAATCGTCATCATCGCTTACCCGGGGGATGGGGTGGGGGGTTCGGTTGTCGTCGATGAGTGGGGCACATATGAAACGAGAGGGAGAGTGCAGAGAAAAGGAAAGTCAGTCAAGCAAGGCAAGACAAAAAGAGGAGTAGGAAAACAATTTTTTAACTATGGAAGATAGATTACCTACCAAACAAGGGACAACAACAAAACTACGTCCCCAAAAGAGGAGAGAAAATATTAAACAATTTGTAATTGGTAAATTATCCTAACCTGGAATTGGAAATTCTTCGAAAACTGGAACAATAATCGAAAACCTAAAATGGATCCTGAAAGGTGGCAACAAAGAGGCCGATACGCAAAATAAAAGGACAACCAGAATTGAAGAAAACGACGCTAACACAGAACGGAACTATGGTTGCCTATTTTCAGTGTTTCGGATGTACAGTTTGAAAACGTCTCGCGAAATAATTATTTTTCGAACCCGTAACTAATATTTTTGAAAAAAGTTATTCCGAGCGGTTTTGGTGTTTTCGGGGGACAGCAACCGCTCGCTAGTTCAATTATTGCACCCGTTAAATGTCTTTTACGATAGTATTGCGACGTGCGCGTGGCCCGTATATTATCTCGGGATCTGTGAAAAATATCAACAAAAAATTATGGACAAAACCGGTTAGGATTCATTTCTACTATTAAAATATTATGTTATATTATAAATTGTCAACATGTCTTATATATTTATATATTTTATCCTCTGTCACCGTTTTTGACATATTTTAAATTTTATGTCAAAAGCAAAACAAAACATTTGTATATTTTTGCCATTGAATGCCTTTGTTATATATATTTGCGGTCGACTTTAGTGCTTCGTGTTGATATTTTAAAAATAATTATTAAATGAAAAATCGTTAGGTCTACAAAAACAAAATATATATAAAAATAGGTTTCTTTTTAGGAAAAGTACATTTTTTGTTAAAAAATGAAGGTCGCTTAATTAATTAATTACATTTAAACAAATTTAAAAAACTTTAATATTACCTTTTCGAAATAGGAAACGTTATGCAAAATCTCCATTGCTAAATACGATAAATTTACATTAGAAAAAAAAATGCTTTTCACGATTTTCCACCAAATTAGGAACCCCAAAGTGACGTTCACTTTGTTAGACAAAGTGAACGTCACTTTGACAGAAAATAAGGTAACGGTAAGACTTGGGTATAAGATGTTATACACGAAGTATTTATTACCAGAATTTTCTGAAAAACTCAAAAACTTATTTAATTTTCATGGCGTTGTTTTTAAAGTATGAGTGAATCCAACGTTTCTGTAGGTTTTTCGATACTCTCTACAGATCCCAAGACGAGGTGTGATCGCATAATAAACGGGACATGCAGTATACAAGAGCTTAAACTTATCTTGAGCGAATAAAAATTGAAAAACGGCCTTTGTCCGTAGCTGTAGCATATACAGGGCGGCTCGCTGTTTTTTGACAGGTTGCCTTGCCAACATATTTTATTAAGCATTTTTTCCTATCGAAAACCTTTCGAAGCGTAGGTGAGAAATTTGGAATCCAAAATATGCATATTTGTACAGGGTCTCTCATAAGTATCTCATAAGCATCTAATTGTCGCAGTATAATTTCGATTTAAAGAAAGCTACCGACCAATTACGTCATTTTTAAATATGCAAAGGGTCGAATTAACGCAAACTTTAAACGAAAACTGGTTTTTAACAAACGCCCTGATAATAGTAAAGTTTGGTACTGTCGTTTGGCGGTTCAATTCGAACAGTTTTGACGCAAAAAAAAAAACAATGCACCGCTGACTTTTCTACCGATTTATGACATACGTAGTTGAATTTTTTATTGTATTTTTTTATGAATATTTAATAATAATGATATGATCAAAAACATCCTCTAGTAAAAATAATGTTTCAATTTCAATTCTTTCAAAATTTCAAATATTGAAGAAACTATATGAAATTTCTCAAAAAGCCGAAATTAAAAATAAACTCTATAATAGCGCGCCACCCCGTATATCCATCACGATTTATATAAAAAAAATATTTTTACCCAAAAAAAGGTCAAATTTTTATACGCTAATGCTATAGGGCGAACCATATGGCTACCAGATGTTAGTTTTGGTTAGTTTGTAGCCATAGGTAGCCATAGGCGTCGAAATCAAGAAGATAGCCAAAACCATACTTTTTTTACGTTTAGATAGGAGGAAATGTATTCGAAACTTCGGGAACGGGTCTCGGCGGGTATCCTGCGCGCCCCCACACTCAATTCCGGAGCGGGTGAGATTATATATATATATATATATATATATATATATATATATATATATATATATATATATATATATATATATATATATATATATATATATAACCGGGCGACGCGCATAAGTTTTTATTTGAAAAAAGCAATCAATCGAAAATGAAACCTTTTCTTACTCGTCCGATAAGGATTAATTAATTTTTGATGAAACTATATTTTTGATGAAACTATATTTTAAATAGCACTAGAACTGTAGGTACCTATAAAACCATAATAAATTGAGATTTGCTAAGTTGATTTTGAAGTTTGTATCCGTCCTGTCTGTTTAACAGAACACTATGTACAAGGTTGATCAAAAGTCGCGCAGCCGTCACATATCTACGGAATTAGTGACGTCGGCGACGTTGTCATATTTATCGGTTTTTCCCTAAGCTAACAAACTTTCTTATTTCAAAGAAAAACGTTTGTTTTTATTCCATTTTTTTATTGCAAGGATAATTCTAAATATTTTTCAGGTACCTTGTACCAAAATTCAATAGTTTTTGCAATAAACTAGAATTTAATTTATTAAGTTCCTAATTCGTTAAAATCGTGCCATTAATTATTTTTGTTTTTTGTCATTCCTGCAAAAACGGTTGAATTTGGGTATAGGCTATTACATGAAAAATACTAAGAAATTTTAAGAACGATCCAAAAATGGAATAAAAACATACCCTTTCTATTTAACAGGAAAATTTGGTAGCTTAGCGAAAAAAACAGAAACGTGGCAACGTTGCCCATGTCATCATTGGATCTAGCCTTACTAATAAATTTCATAAATTTTGAGTTGAATAATTCCTGAGATATGTGGCCATTGCGCTACTTTTGATTAACCCTGTATATGTTTTCAGAAAATCTCTCGAATTTATGGAAAATCATGAATTTCTGAGAAGCGAACGCTAATTTCTTACTTTAGTCAGAGTTTCGGAAAAACAAATCAAAATTTCTAAAAAACAAGTAAAAATTTCTGACTTGTCGGAATTTCTGGAAAATAATTTAATATTTCTCAGATACAAATCATAACTCCTGAAAAGTAAGTCAGAATTTTTGAAAACAAGTCAGAGTTTCTCACATAACTTTGTCGTAAGGGACATTCGGAAATATCAGATATACAGGGTGATTCATAAACTAGGCGAACTAGAAACAAAAATAATTTTATTTTTTTCATTGCTATTACCAACATTGTTGTGGTTAATTATTGGTGTTTTGTTGTTCCCTGTACCTTTTCGTATTTTGAGCATTTATTAAAACTTACAGAGTTTACGAAAAATTGAAAAAAATTCATTTCGATTCGACCTATCTGAGTCTAGTAGTACCTTCAGTTTATGAATCACGCTCTATATCCGACGTCTCAATTCGCCTTGCCCTTTACGTAAAAAACTTAAAATTATGATTTGTGTTTCAGAAATTTTAACTTAAGAACTCCCAAGGTGTTTCTCAGACATTCTGACTGATTTTTTTTTATTATTATCACATCGAATGCTATTTGCCATTAGATAAATAAGGCAAATTATTTCGAAAAATATCGGATCATTTAAAACTTAAAATTGCTACACGAAACCGTTTCTTTTTTCGCGTCGCCTTGTACATAACGCTCGACGTCGGTCGAGCCGCTTTCGTGCGTTTCCGGGGACGACGAAACCGACCGAAACCCCAAATCCCCGCGACAGTTCCTAATGTAGTATATATAGTTTGCTCACTCGCACTTAAATCAGTAAAGTATTGGTCTTACCACAAACAATACTAAATCTAACACACAGCCTCTATATTATGTATAAATATCATTTTTTGGTTGTCCCTATACGTTATTTTTTGCCTCGGTTTATTTTTTACATAACCCTACTTTACCGGCGACCGATTCAGTCCGTGTGTACGCCACAGAACACGTATTGAGCGTTACTTAGATACATTTACAAATATAAAAACATCTATATAATAAAGAGCCATTGATGTTCGTTGAGGTTAGGAAGATTCATTACGTAATAATACTCATTATTCGGGTTCGATCGTGTAGAGGGGCGTTCCGGAAGAGCGAGAAATAGGTACACCTTAGACGACAAACATTTTTTTTTAAATATCTCGATATTCGGGAATAATACGGGATAATTGTTTTCAAACCCGAGCGCCACCTCGAAGAATGAACACCCCGTGGCAAAGTTTCTCGGGATAAAATATCCGCTGGTGTCAATTTTTGGTGGTCGAAAACGAAAGAGGTACGTTCGGATTTTTTAAATTCAACAAGTTTTTTTGTATTTTAGTTGTCAATAAGAAATGTTATCTTCTTGGGCAATTCGTTTACTTAAGCGCTAAACTAAAATATGCGTGTCAGTTGAATTAGGCAAAGTTTTGAGGGAAAAGTCAGAATTTCTGACCTAAGTCGAAATTTCCGAGATACAAGTCAAAGTCAATTTTTGAGAGACAAGTTGGAATTTGTGCAGTAAGTCAGAATTTCCGAAAAATAAGTCAAAATTTCTGAGAAACAAATCATAATTACTGAAAAATAAGTTAGAATTTCTGCAAAGCTTCTCACATACGTTTCTCGGCAATGGCATTAGGAGCGAAACAGATGTACAGGGTGATTCATAAAGAATGGGTAATCTCTAAACTGGAAGTACTAGACACATAATTTTTTTTTCATTATTAATACTAAAATTTATTATGGTTGATTGCTTTATGTTCCCCGTACCTTTTCAAATTTTGATTATTTACAAAAAATACTTATTTTTTTTAATGCAAATAATTTTAAAAAACTACACAGTTAACCCTTTTACGAAAAATGTTTCAAAAAAAAATAGGCACATGTGATTAAATTTCTCTAAATAATATGGTGAAACTATTGTCATCTAGTAGCAAAGGTTCTGAATATCTGACGTTTAACAAATTTTAACGAATTTTTCAGGAATTCCGACTTAAGTAAAAAATTCGGAGGAGTTTCTCGGAAATTCTAACTTATTTTTCAGAAATTTAGATTTGGTTTTCTTAAATTCCGAGTTCTTTTTAGAAATTTTGACCTATATAAGAAATCATAACTTGTTTTCAAGAAATACTGACTTGTTTTCCAGAAATTCTGCCTTATTTCTTAGAAATTCCGATTTAGGTAGGGAATTCTGATTTATTTCTCTGAAATTCTGACTTTATCGGATATTCTTACTTGTTTTTCAAAAAATGTGACTTAATTAAGAAATTATGTCTCATTTCTCAAAAATTCTTACGTAGTAGGAAATTATGTCTTGTTTCTTAGCAAATTTAGATTTATGTCAGGAATTACGACTTGTTTTTCAGAAATTCTGACTCATTCCTCAAAAATACGGCTAATCAGGCTTAAACCTACATTTTGCAGTAAGCTTCGTAGATCAGAAAGAACAATAATAAATTTTACATGGGGAACGTCAAATAATGGATAAAAAGTGACAATTATATTACACACATAAAATTTGTTTGTTTACTTGTGTATCACTCTCACCAGTAGCTTAGAAAATTCAACGGAATCTGCGAACTTGTATTTTATCCCGCAAACTTTGCCAGCCTCTCATCCTTCGAACCGAAAACAATTACCCCGACGTCATCCCGCGTACAAAAAAAAACCAACCGCCCCGACACCCGTTCCGGTTTCGACCGGTTTCAATTATTGTAGAAGCCCCGATTGACCGCCGCCCTATTCCGGTTGTGCCATTTGCACTGCAAGATTCTCAGATATGTCCTGCGAAAGCTCGCGTTGCACAACGCGTAACACATCGGGTTTATCGTGGAGTTGATGTAGCACAGATAGTAGAAAAAGTCCCACAACTGCGGCGGGATCCGGTTACTCGTCGCTGTCACCGGCTTCAGCAGCACCAGTATGTTGTAGGGGGTCCACGTGATGATGAACGTCAGCAGTATGGCGGACAGGGTCTTGGCGGCCTTCTTGTCCGCCTTCTTCTCCTGCGTTTTCTTCTTCTTCTTGCCGTGGTTCTTGGTCGCGTTCGCCAGCAGCGTCTTGCCGGCCAGGTGCTTCGGGATGCCTGCGAGTGCGAGAGAAATATATATATATATATATATATATATATATATATATATATATATATATATATATATATATATTGGATGATGCCTCATTTCAGAATCTTTAAGACTAAAGGTGTACAGATTCAGTTGCACTTTTAAAATATTACGTTTCTATATATTCATTTTAGTGGTCGCGTGAAAATTTTCGGAACTTTCTGTTCTGCAGATGTTTTATACAGGGTCAGGGTTGTCTGCGGACCGAAAGGGAGAAACACACATTGACCCTTTTGTTATGGGATGATACGTTATCTCAGAATCTGGAAAGAATATAAAAAAAAAAACGTTAACAGCAAGGACAGAAAGTAATCAAAGCCCTATAGACTTCCTTAAAATAGCCTGCAGAATATCAGTAGCAGAGAATATTAAAAGTGCATGGACATGTAAAGAGAATGAACAATGAGACATAGTCGAGGACAGCTTCACACTATATACAGCAGAATAGAAGGAGGAAGGGAAGGCATAGAAGGTCCAAGATGAGTGGAAAAACAGAGATAGGTGACCCAACTTTATATGTTATATTTTATAGGTGTGGTCTAGGTCTATTTCAGATTCTAACGTCAACTGTATGAGGCAAGAACTTTAAAGCAATTTGCACTTGTTTTAGAAGAAGAGGTTAACTTTTGACCTAATTTTAATCGTGCAAAAATTGCAATTGTTACATTTGTAATAGACTTCTATTCACGTCTAACCAATAAAGTTTCAAAAATGTACAATATTCCTCTGACAGCCTACTGGGAGGTTTAATATAAAACATAACAGATCGAAGAAAAGTCTTAGGTGCTTCGTGAATTTGGAAAACAACACGGCATCCGAGAAAACGAACGATTTTTTCAATTTAAAAAGAGGGATGGCTGTCACCTTTCGCGTTCAGCGGGATCCTGATGTCGGGCATCGCCGAAGGTCTCCGGTTCAGGTGGTTCGCGTGAGCCACCGAGTTCATCTTGTAGTCGTTCTGGAACTGACTCTCGGGGATCATCTTGATCGAAGGAGTTTCAGCCTGGCCGTGGTGGCCCTCCTTGGGATCGCCCGGCAACCGGATCAGGATCGTATAGACGCTGTCCGTCGACGAGCAGCGTCCCGTCAACCTAGTGGACAACGGCAAGCTCCGGCTGTCCCTCCCAGGGTACCTGGTGGGTGTCACGTTCGCCTGGTTGGCCGCCCAACTCGCTCCCAAATCACGAGTCGCGTACGGATCCCTGATAAACAAAGTAACAAGTAACTACAGATATATCGGTGTCTTCTTAAGGATATGACCAGGCAATCAATTACGTAATGAAACTAAGGAATCATAATAGAATGGAGGTATATGTATCAACATCAGATAGCTATGAAAAGACTAATGCTACGGTTGGAAAAGGACAATACCAAGATGTTGTGGATCGGGTAATTATAGTGATGACCGACCAACTCAATTTTGCCAGGAACCGGACCTCGCTTTAGTCTACCTACTAGAAGGCTCTGTGCATGGGTACACTAAAATGTAACATGGGGTCACCATATGGAGAGGATCCTGTTATGCAGCTAGAGTGTTTCGTCTTCATGAAAAAGCCAAGACTAATAGTTTTTCAATGAAATCGAAAAAGTAAAAACAGTCTACTATGAAATATTATACGATTTCCAGGTTTAAGAAAGACATCCTGCATGAATATATGAATTGAAAATTGTTTATCAGATACGCTGCAGGAATATGAAAGGGTCTTAAGACTATGACATTCCATTTTCTATGCCGATGTTTTATTGCGAATCCATAAGCAAAGTTTTAAAGAGACACAATGTTGTGGGCCTTGTATTCTTTGTAACTGAAGAAATCTAACGCTACCACAGCGACTATAACTCGAGAAATCTAACACTTCTGTCTGTCTGTCTGTCTTCCTCCGGAATTGGCGGTTATAGACTCACCTGATGACGTTGAGCGAGGTACATCTGGACACGGAACTCTGCAGGGGCGTGTCCAACGACACGGGAGTGATGCAGCCCTGGCCTTGCTCGCTGGGGCTCTCCTCCTCGGTGTCGCTGCCGTCGTCTCTGCCCGAATGCCACCACGCGACGCACCACGACCTCAGCCGACTGGCGCCGTCCCTGAGGCTGTTGGCCCCTCTAAACACGTGGCTGTCCCGATGACTTAGCAGGATGATCTAAATGGGACACACATCGATCAGTTTCGACATCGGTCCTTCTAAAGGCGCGCACTCACGGGCCTCCGCTTTTGGTTGGGATCGACCGCGACCGAGCTGCGCATATACACCGAGTCGTTGTCCGCCGCCGAGGACTCCGACCTCGGCCTCCTCCATTCCTCCAGGTCGAGAGTGGAGCAGGCGTTCGTCGCCTCGTCACTGCACACGAATACACTGTGTACACACGCGATTAATTGGTTGGGTGAGTCCCGCGCGCCTGTGTTCGAAACATCGAGCTACGCGAGCGTAGTGCGCGGGCGGCCTTTAGCAAAGAATCACGCACCAAATGAATGGGAAAATCGCGAGAGGTTTTTTTTGCATCAAAACCAGAGATCTACCCCATGATTACCAAAAAAGACGGTCCTTCTCAATACTTAAAAACCAAAATTCATGTATGAATACTGATCTACAATTCACAACACTCTTTCCGAATCGAAATATAATGCGTTCAGAATATTTTCCTCAGATTTTCTTACACTGTTAAAAAATCTGACAGGGTCAGTCATGTTATAAGCAGACAGAAACGTCTGAAGCTTAAATTTTTGGGATACCTTCACCTCCTCAATCTTGGCCAAAACGCTTGCATCGTCTAGGGAGCTAAATAGTACGAATACGAGAAAAAAGAATTAAGTTTCATTAAATTCATTATAACTTGTATTCGGTGCGGGGTTCTTTAGCAAGACTCGTTTTTCCGCGGAGGTTCCGCCAGACACCTCGAAACACCTAGTGCAACACGTAAAGCCTCTATCATCGACACTTCTACCCATTCCTCGCGCAACCAGTGCAACGTTACCTCGAATTGCTCCGTTTGCTGCTGTCCTTTTTGCCGGCCTGGAGGTTGGGCAGGTCCTTTTTCCGTTTCTCCGTCTCCCTCCATATCCTCCAGTAGAGGAAGCACATGACCGTAACGGGCACGTAGAAAGCAGCGATCGCGGTACCAAACGTAATATAGTGATTCGTTTCGATGAACTGGATGTAGCACTCGTTGTCGGGTACCGTGCGTTGTCCCTCGATGTAGGGCCAACTGTAGATCCACGGGGGCCACAGCAGCAGGCTTATTCCCCACGCGCACCTACATTATCCCAAAATCGCAAACCGCGTTAAAATGTTTTTGTTGTAACTAGCCGATACGACATTGACACCATAAAACCGTTTCCTTCCACCATCCTTCACATGGGAGGAAATAAATTGGATTTTTAGAAGTTCGTACTTTAAAACTGTTTCTAAAACTATACAAGGACTAAGTTGGAGAGTATCTGGCTCTATAGGGTGCATGGAAGGGCCCCTAAACTGCCTCCACCCAATGAAACCGGTCCTGAACTTGCCCATTCACTAAGTACAAAAAACAACTATGTGGACATTCAGATTTCTGAAAACAACCGGTCCATGTTTAACCTAAGCTGGAATATTATCAAAGTATGTGGAGGCCATACTTCTACGCCCATCATCAAAACTGTGAAACTAGGCTTCAAGAACTAAACGCTGCTAAGATGTGTAAAGTGTCCACCATATCGTCGATCTCTGTTTTAATCTGTTTAAAAATAGACTTGATTGGGAAACTCATTTATTCCATTATTCTTCCTTAAAAAGAGAACTTGCTGTGATAAGAATTCTAACTGTGATAACATAAGTACTAATCCATTGCTTTTAATAATAGGAAGTGCAAAAAATGATTTCAATGTTAAATATAATCAGATAGATTATCGTTCACCGTCTTGATTGAGAATTGAGAATCGAGGCTTTCAAAATTGCAGATTTCCCGGCTCGATAGGACTCCTAATGAAGAGGTTCTAGAGAAGGAACATGAAGTCCTAAGTGACAAATGACGAAAACTGGAATAGCTGCTCACATCATGATACAGCTTGTTACAGCTGGTCTTGCTTGACTCCCCGACCTGAGAAAACGGTTCTTTCTCTGTACCTCCGAATTTTTCGAGCAGTAGTCAACAAGATTAGAATAGACATAGACATTGAAGTCTATTTAGATACTACGTATTCTTAGAGAAGAGAATAGAGAAGGAATGCGAAGCGAAGCTTGCTACTGCTAATCTTGCTGGGCTGTCTTGCCACAACTGGACTCTTCAGAGTCAGCATTCGACAAGAAGAGCAGAGATGGAAAAATACAAGAGCCGTAGCTTAAATCGAATTGATTGGCTTACGCTATCATGATGGCCGCGCGGTTGGTGGTCCTCTTAGCCCTGTAGGTCAGCGGTCTGGTCACCGAGAAGTACCGGTCGAAGCTGATGATGAGCAGGTTCAACACTGACGCGTTACTGGCCAGATAGTCGAGGGCTAACCACGTGTCGCAGACCAGAGGTCCTAGCGGCCAGTAACCTGAAACGCAACTTGGCTAATGGCGGCCGAAAGCTGGAGGGGAGCCGGCACACCCACCCAGCAGCGTCGAAATGGTGAACAACGGCATCGAGATCAGCCCGATGGCGAAGTCGGCGACGGCGAGCGAGAACAGGAAGTAATTGCTTATCGTTTGCAGCTGCTTGTCGATCTTGAAGCTGATCATCACCATGATGTTGCCCACGACCGTGACGAGGGACAGGATTCCAGCTGAAAAACGGCAAGTTGGAAATCAGATAACTGGTTTGAAAATACGTCTTGGTCCTTCGACCGGTTTCAAATTAGACACCAGCATCAACCGTAGTAAGCTAGTTGTGCTATTTTCTCAACTGGACAGCAAAAAAAAACACTTGCTGATATATCGCCAAACCTGAGCTCTGAAAAAGTCAAAAGATTTCTAAGATTTGTAAAATAGAATGTGAAAGTTTCTTTGAAAAATAAACTGCCTTGTACCTACCTTGTAGGTGCTGTGTGCCTCAAAGTATATCGTACACGTAATCGCATCGTTTGGATAATAGTGAACAAGATAAGATAATATGTCAAAACTAGATATATACCATAATACAATAGAATACAATAATGAACAACAATGGAAGCTTAATCGTAGAAACAGAGGAAAAAGTAAAAAGATGTTCACAGTATATTGAAGAGCTATTTGAAGATGAGCGAAACGCTGGTCATGGGGTATAAGAAAACATATTGAACCACCAATTACCAAAGACGAAATAGAGAGAGCTTTTAAATTTGCGAAGAACCAGAGAGCATCAAGACCAGATGCAATGAACACCGCACCACAAGTCATGTCTCTTTCTAAAAATAATACATCAAAGAATTTACCCCAAAAATGAGGAACACATTGCAGATACTCGGTTTGGTTTCCGTAAGGGCCTAGGTACAAGGCTCTGTCCAGCATTCAAGTTCTAACTCAAATATATGAACTGTGATGTATTTATGTGCTGTATTGATTTCGAGAAAGCGTTTGACCGAGTGCAACACGAAAAAATGGCTGGCATCAAAAGGCAAATGTGCAAACAGGAAATAATATGACTAAAAGCATCTCAATTAAAAGAGCAGTAAGACAGGGTTGCATTCTGTCACCATTGCTTTTCAATTTATACTCGGAGACAATATTCCAACAAGCTTTAGAAAATATCGCAGAAAGAATAAAAATTAATGGGGTAATAGTAAACAACTTAAGATATGCAGATGATTCCGTTCTACTGGCAGATAATATTAAAGGGCAAAAAATCATAGATCATGCAACCGTTACGGTCTTAAACTTGACATCAAAAAGGCCAAACTTGTGGCTGTAACTAAAGAACCGAATATACGTGCAGAACTGTGGATCGGCCCAAGTAAACTTGCAAGGGTCAAGAGGATTAAACATCTGGGACAATTATGAAGCGAGGATGGGACCGTTTACTGGAAAAAAATCCAGAATTGAACAAGCAAGAGCAAGGTTGATGCGTATGAGGAAAGTGCTGTGTGGACACGAACTTAAAATTGAGCTCAGAATGAGAATGATCCCATGTTACGTGTTCTCAATGCTGTTATATTCAGTAGAATCTTCGACTCTTACAGAGACTACCTTAAAAATGCTGGAAGCTTTTGAAATGTGGGTGTACAGGCGCATGTTGAGGATAAGTTGGATAGATCGGGTCGTTAACAAATAACGAAATCATTGATAACATCAAGATTAAGAAACTCTCATACTTCGGCTATGTTATGAGACATCCTGAAACATACAACGTCAAGCATTTGATCATTCAGGACAAGATTGAGGTCCCAGGAAGAAAGAGAACATCTTGGCTGGAAAACCTGCGACAGTGGTTCGAACAATACACGATATACTGTCTAAAGGAAGGACTGTTTCCAGTTATTTATAATTTGTCTGCAAAAACAGTCTATATCACGGCGAGCATGTTTGAAGCCAACTCCATAACAAAAAATATGAAAAAACGTCATTTTTAGACGTCAGGGAGTGTTGATACTTAATAGCTCACATTTGGTGCCATCGTACAACGTATAGAAACGTACAAAACAACCATCTTAAGAGATCGGTTGAGGTGTTGGCAGAATAATTGCATCCGAATTCCGGTGAACCCGGAATAAGCCAAGACTTTTTACTAACCTTCTGTGGTGCTAAAACCTTTGAACTTGATTCTCTACCCCCAAAATCTGATCTACCATTTTAAACGGGCTTATTTTCAAACCCAGTTTATGTGGCTAATGCCGATGGAATTCCTGGAATAACGTGTACAAACCATGAGTTTTGGGTAATGAATGTATCAACCTGCGGCTTTCAGATTTTATTTTTTATTGCCTGCCTATATTTTTTTTATTTATACGCTAATCTGACAAGTTGGATAAACGTCAATAAAACTTCAGTTCTTGTTTGTAGTTCAAACTTAATGATTTAAGGTTTTTTGCATTTCCGTTGCATTTTTTTTAACATCTTTGTTCTTATAAAGTACCAAACTGGAATAATTTTGTTACGTAATGTTGGGCGTAACGTGGGGCGGCAATGGGTTATCTGAATAGCAACTTCTTACATATCATTTTGTAGGCAATTTTATAATCTTTAAATTCGGTACCTTGTATTTTTTCATAAAAATGGAAATTAACGGAGATATTCGTGGAAACGTGAAAAAATGTAGCTTTATGGTGGTTTTGGGGACTTTTAGTAAGCTAAATTGCACTCCAAAAACTGTTAGTCCATCAACTTGTTTCGGATCCAACTCTAAAATTTCTGGAGTAATAGAATATTATAAGAGTGTTTTCTAATTGAATGTCAATAATTAGGGGAGGGGAGCATGTGTCCTAACTTTTCAGATACAGGATGCTGAAGTTTTCAAAAATAAGATATATTTTCGTAATACATTTTAATGAAATTTGGCACACATGTACTATGTATTAAGAGGCATTATTTAGTGTACAACATTTTTTTTAAATACACCAGTGGCGGGCGTACGGCATTTCACCTGTTTATTTTGGCAGACATTATTTCCAAAGTAATTAAATTGCTTCATTTTTTTCAATCGAATGTACGGTTTTCGCCTAAAAATTGTTTTTTGTTAGTAACTAGTGTCCTTCAGAAAAAAATAAATATTAGAAGACTGTTCTTTTTCACTTTTACAGCTCTAATGAAATAATATAACACTTTAACAACAAGATAAATAATAAACGTTTCTTATATAAAATTTATTTTATTACTTTGTATTACTTCGATTTTTTAAGTATTTTAATAAAACAGACAATTACTTAAGTAAAATATAATAATGATAATCATTATCTGCGTGCCGTCATATTAACGATATTGTTGTGACCGTGTAGCGAAGAGGTTTTTATTGAAAAAAATCGAGAAATTAAATTGCGTTAGATACGATTAGAGATTGTAAAAATAATCAGTGACTTAGCAGACGTGCTGGTGTATTTAAAAAAAAACTGTGGTACGCGAAACAAAGTCTCTTGATGCATAGTCCATGTGAATTATCTAAAGTGATATTAAAATACATTTTTTTTTTTTTCTTTTTAAATGTACAAGTGTACGAAAAATGAAATGAATGAAAAAAAAACTCATTTTTGTAAAACGAAAAGCGAAATAATTCGTTTTTAGTGGTCAAAAGTAGAACATTGTTAAAACAATTGCAAACATAAATAATATGGTTGCTATCAAGGCGGACTTGACCATTTTTAAACAATATGGCTATCGTCCGGAAATCGAATGATTATTATTTTTAAATTGAAATGTCTCAAAAAGAAAAAACTAATAATATATAGGGCATTCCGTTAAAAAAAAAACAAGATGTTGCTGTCATTTTGGACAGCATAAGAAAATGGAGCAAAAATCTTCAAACTTTTGTATTTACACGTTTTTTTCTATCTTTCAAAATTAACCCTGTCAGTGGGTGTTGAAATGTAATGAATAACCCTGTACCTAATATTGAAATTTAATCCCAAATATGATCGGATAAAAAGGAAACAAGGCAGTGATCAAACGATGGTGAAAAACATCTCAAACTTGTACCAAACAAGGCCGGGTCTCTTATTTTTCTTCGATCAAGAAACGTTAGAAAAAAGCGGGCAAGCTCGACGTTTCTACCGTTAAAGAACAATCGTCGTCTCCCCGCGTTAACACAATAGGGCAAGTCTCGCCGCGATAGAGAGCCGTCAAAGTTTGGCCAAACTCGCCTATCGCACTCACCCACTGTTCCTATCAGGACGACTTCCGTAACGGTGTACGTGGCCTCGTGCGAAGCTGAGACGACAGACGAGTTATCGGTCGTCGGCGAGGTGTTCATCGTGTCACGAGGACCGAGTGGCCAGGCGTCGCCTCATGTCCCCGGCTCGCTGATGCTGGAAGACGCCTCGATTTTACCTTTGACCCACTTTCGCGCGGCGACGGATCGGGATAAGGGGACCCCGTCCCGAGGACCCGATCTTCCCGCCTCGAGGCTCACGGACATTTCGCCGCCGCGGTCATCGCTGTAGGGGTCGGCAGACGCCACCACTCAAACTGCTGCTGGTATGATGGGTGACTTGCGACCTGGCTACGTGGCTGCGGCTGCCTCCATAGGCGTGGACTGGCCTGGGCGTACTACGCGCTCCACACAGATCCCACCCCCACCCCGCCGGCAGCATCCCGACGCGACGTTCGAATGTGACGGCGCTCCCCCTGCGTCCTCGCCCCGGTCTAATCTTCCGACGGTGCCCCGCCAATCGGAACGGACGACTTAAAAACCGCGCCGCATTTGAAGGCTCGACGTTTATAAGTAAATAAATAAATAAATGGTGCGGGTTTGCTCGAAAAGAAAGACCGCACTAAAGAAAAGGCCTCCCCGACATGAAGAAATGGGACAAATGGACTTATTGATTGGCAACCCAACACGACCGCATCTCCATTGGGTAGTTTTGGTTAGAAACGTGTATCTGCAAAATTCGTTGCGAAACCGACTAATTTTGAAGAACTATTAAACGATGATGATACTCAAAAGGGTCATAATTGGTATCGATACCCAAAATCGCCAAGAACGAAAAGAGCACGTTGAGTTTGATCAAACTTCAACATTTTGCTTACTATTTTCTTTGTTTATCGTGTATCAAGACTGCTTACCACAGGGTCGCAACGTCAATAAAGCGTATTCTTGAAGGTTGAAAATTCAAGAAATAACGAAGTCTCAGTCACTTAGAATTCGTCGCTATCGCTACTATCGTCACCTAGTTTAATGATCAACTCCGCCACTAATGGTTCTCGATAAATATTTTCTTTTTTTACTACTCGTTTTTCACAGTTAGACCAGCTTTGCACTGATGTTTTAGCTACATATTGCCGAATTACGTTTATGGTACTATCACTTAATTTTGGTGCAGTGTTATTTCTTTTGATACTCGCTTTCAACTCAGACCAAATCATCTCAATTTCTAAATAAAAAAAGTGCAACCGAAGCTCGTCGTCAGTATATTAGATTTTAACCAGAGCGCCGAGCTCCGTGAAATGAATGAGTTAAAAGAAAAAAATAAGCCAAACATATTAGAAGTCTATGAAACACATCCCGTTTCCTCTATTACTAGAGTATATGAAGAGACAGGTAATAAGATATTCTATTAAACACATATATAATATATAGGGCGTTCCTTATAAAGAAATATGATGTAGGCTTATACGTCAGAAAATTGATAGTGTTTTGTTTTATTCGTCACTTGGAAAAAAATGGCTACTAACCCCACAACTTGTTTTTTTTTGTTTACCTTGATATCTCTAAAAATAAAAAAGTTACAGCCAATTAAAATGTTATCACGTTACTTAAAAATAATAAAAAGCAAAAAATACTTTGTTAAGAGTCAATGGAAATAAATATTTGACTTGTTTTGTCTTGCCTAAAGGCCGAAATCGGCGCCGATATTTTTGAAAAAACGGCGAGCGATCCGGACCGACGCCGCGACCCTCCGATTGGCTTGGCACCGTTAGAAAAAGAACGTGCGAAGTTTAAAAGGTGCCGAATACGTCCGAGGGACGACGCGAAACGACGGACGATCCTTCGGGAGAACGCGCGTCCGGAAAATCGGCATCGTCTACGTCGGGTTACATCCAGCCCTTTGCATTGATTTTGCCGGGACCGGGACGGCGGACGTCCGTCAGAGGGCGTCCGAAACTCGCGGACCGTGAACTCGCAACACGTTGTAAACAAACGGAGACGGCCGTATATACAGGGCGTATCCGAAAAATAATAATAACAGGTCTTTATTTATAAATAAAAAATAACAAATAAAACAGTCTAGGATAAGATGCTGGCGACATCTAGCAACTTGATTGTATCACTGTCCAAGAGAGGTTACAAAAATACGTGTGTACACTTTTTTACAAAGAAAAAAAACGATCTTCATCTTGTTCCCGTCCGAGTTCGACACGCAAAGAAAATGGTCATATAGTTGCCGGCTATTTATAAAATTTTACCTTAGGTCGAGTCAGTAATTTTAATCGACGCTTATTAAATACACTAAACAAGAAAAAAAAGATAAATAGTCAGTATGGAAAAGATGTTATGACGAGGAAAGTGTACAGAATTTTAATACGATTTACAACTGGGAAGATGATCTATATACAAAAACAGTTTGGCATAAAGTTTAAAGATATATTGTAATGTTTCAGAATTTCTAAATTATAAGTCAAAATTTCTAAAAAACAAGTCAACATTTGTGACCTTAGCGAGAATATCGAAAACCAAGTCAGAATTTCTGACGAGGTTAGTGCCAAAATTTCCCGGCCTGACATAGATACAGCTCCATTATCACGATAAAACTTTGTCTATTGCATTTTAAAGAAGACGTGTCCGAAAAAATGTCGCAAATAACTCAAATTGTGTATAGAGCAGTCGTAAAGTTTTTGACAAAAGAGGGGTAGGTACCTAAAATTATTAAAGAAAGGCTGGATGGTGTATACGGCCAAAGTTCTCCTTCGTATTAGTAGATGTATAGTGCCGATATAAGCAACAGAAACCGTACATAACCTCAATTTCCTAACCCCCCCGCAGCGGGGGCCCCCCGCGCGTGGCGTCCTAGTGTCCCCCCTGTCTCCCAGAGTGCGCTCCGCCCCCCACCCAGCTTGTGTAGCGTCCTGTTTTGCCCCGGTTCCGCCCGTCGCTGCTAGATGTCGCCAGCTTGTGTAGCGTCCTGTTTTGCCCCGGTTCCGCCCGTCGCTGCTAGATGTCGCGCGCTCCGACCGTCGTAGGCCCCCCCGGTAGAGGGCGGTGACGGTGCGGCGCGGAGACGGTGTGGCGCGGTGACGCGGTGGATCGGGTCGTCGGTAAACAAGTCGAGTGACTTATACAGAGTGTCTCAATAATCACGGTTTAATAAAAGAAAAACTATAGATACAATAGTAAATATTTATTAGCTCATATGTAGACAACGTAATGCTTCGTACAAGCGGTGTTTCTGGTCCATGAGATTTTCTACTTCATCGCGGTCGAGGATAATTTCGTCGCCATGATCCTGTTTCAGTATCAACTCACAGCTCTCTTCTTCGTTCGAATAGGTCACCTCGATACTGCTCCCGATGTAGACTGTTATGTCGTTCCAGAACATGATTTCTCCCACCTCGTCCTCCAGAAAGAACAAAAAATCCCAAAAATCCTGGACTTGAAAATCTATGTGCTTGTTCTTGAAGATGAAACGGACACCTGAATTCTTTATTTCGAAAATCGTGTTTTCATCGATAGTGACCACTTTGTTACACATTGTGACAAACAGACTGACTTCGGTATCAAATTCAAATGTACTTATATATCAACAACCCCCCACTATCGGTGTAATTAAGAGAGATATTTACATTTAGTCAATTTGAATAAGCATTTTGTCAAAAGAAGCAAACAAGCGCACGTAGTTACATATAGCGGGATTAAAATAGTTTTTCGACCTGCCGAGATGTTGTATTCGTTACCGCAAATGTCGTTAACGCCGCCGCTGGTGTTATTGGAATTCTTGATAGCGATCGTTTGCCATTCGCCGTGGTCTTCGTAGCTCCGGTTCGCGAAAACGAAACGTACCTTGTAATTTAAATACGGCTTATCTGCGGTAGTGTTATTCGACAATGTCTCGCTAAAAGTTTGTAGCTTGTCGATTCCGTTGACCTGAGCGAGTTGCATACGCGTCCACGTATCGGGCCAAATGCACCGATTATTATGATTTTTGAAACAAACGAACGCTTCAATCACATCCTTAGGTTTATGTATATAGAAAACGTTTTGTACCACAGCCGACAACAAAACAAAGTGAGCACTTAACAAAACCATGTTTCTAGCCCGAATGAATCTATCCTAGATCTCGGTAACTGCTTTTATAACACTCAAACAATAATGACATTTATTCTGGGGAGGTGCCGGGCCGTCGATATGCATTTTGCTGTCCGGTCTGTTATAGTGAACAAAGCAGGGCAAATGAGTTTGCAATTCAAAATTGTTGCGATGTCGTACTGGTAACTTATGCCACATATTTAACAAATCGTGCGGTCTCACATGCTCCAAGAAATGTTGCACAGGAATCAATTCAAGTTGATCGGTATCCAAGCTTCTAAAATCGTCGAAGAAAACTAACTTCTTATTCATTGTTGTGAAAGATCGATAACTTTCTTAACAAATCCCTAATTTGTTTAAAGACACTCTCTGTGGGACAATTAATTGCGACAAGACTCAAGTCTATTTCACCGACTCTCGTTAATTTATTCAAAAATTCGTTGTATTCGTAATACGTTTTCTCTTTGAAAAAATACAAATGTCCGTTGGTGTATCGAAACGCGCCCGACAAATCGTCGGGCAGACCCGGAAACAGTTCCGTAGTAAAACCGTGTTCACTCGCACTCAAAGAACACTCGTCTATTTCTGCATAGTAGCGTTTACCGTAAAATATATACGTTCGACCGCCATACGTATTAAAAATAGCGTTCACTGTTTTACCCGCAGGCACACCCAGTCGCTGGACGCTTTGTCGGTCGCCCACTACCGTGAAACTCGGGAAGTGAAGTAAATAAAACGAATCACCGGTGACTACCAAAAGTTGTCCGTTGGGTCTCTGGTAGATATGCGAAATAGGAGCGTAAATAGGGACATAATCTGATATCATTTTAGGTTCCATGTAGACTTTATCACCTAATCTTATTATCCAAACCCATTTGTCGTAAAATAGATACATATGATGGTTAGACGTAACCAAAAATATGGATGGATTTACGTGACACAAATCTGGTACTTTTGTTTCGTTTTTCCCTATCGGAGGTTTCGTAGTTGTGGTAGTAGTGGTAGTTGATGTTGTTGTGGTCGGAGTTGTTACGCGGGCGGTGGTTGTGGTTTTTTTACCATATAAACGTTGAAGACCTGCAACATCGTCGTATGACAATGTCTTAGAATTTAAGCTATACCAAGGGTACATAATGGCATTGCGATCGTTACTGTGCGCCAAACCCAACGTATGTCCAATTTCGTGGAACAACACAGTAAACAAGCTCGTTTTTCCTCCGGGCGCAGGCACTTCTAAACCGTAGTACCAATCTTCGGA